TTTAAAATATTCCAGACCTTATATGAACTCAACCGAATAAATTATATATTAAAAAAAGGCTTTTTAGTCATACAGTTTTAGTTACATGCACGCTAAATTGTAAAAAAAAATATTTGTTTCGTTATCACAATATTCTTGATTATATACGACTAAAAATCAAGTTGTAGCATTGGTAACAAGGGCATACTCTAAATAAAAATAGAAATTTCAAAGAGAAATTTCAGAAAATTAAATGTTACAATTCATATGTATTTCATTTCTATATTATGGCTCCTATTTGTTCCTTAAAATTGTCTTAATGCCTTAATACACCTGCTTCCAAAGGCTATGCACGCGACAATAAAATCAACCCAAATGGAGAAGTAACGCTTTGATTAACACCAAATTACACATGACGATAGAAATGTATTTTTTACGCCTGAAAGTTAAAAAGCATTATGAACAAATACGAAATCAATATTTAATTTTAAGTTTTCTGATGACTTCACATTTAGGTTAATAACAAACTGATGTTTAAAGCTAAATATAAGCGAACAAAGTTATGTCACTACCCGCGACCTTCATGCACACTTTAAAATAATTGCTCATGCTTTCAACGAGGTGATCAACCATCTCAGATAGTAGCAATGGGCCATTCCTCCATTAGAGCAATTTCCAACGATATGAGACTGGCTGGAGAAGGTGAACGTGCAGAGACAGCACGCATGACATCCTCAAGATTTTCAGCGGGATTAAGGTCGAGGGAATACGACGACTACTCCGTATGAGAAATGCGTCTCACTCTCCAGGTACTTGTTAAGGATGTTGGCTCGATGGGGATGGATATTTATCATTCAATAAGGAGGAAATCAGAATCACCCAATGCAGCGTACTTTACAATGAGATGTAGGACTTCATCCCGATACCGGGAAGCTGTCATAGAGCCGTCAGCTGGGTGCGATATCTCATTGAAATTTCAGCCTATACCATAATGTTACCATTTCTGAATGCGTGATGTTCGATGATGTTCTTGGCATGATTTCGTGTGTCTCATTCTCTCCAGATTCTTAAAGCATATCATCTGTATCCAGCGGAAACTGAACTCTTCTTTGAACAAATAATTGGACCAATCTGAGCCAATTCAGTTGAAATGTTGAAAACACCAATTTAATCTTACCCATCTGGACTCAGTTAGTGGAACACAAGCATTTGGTTACTCGGGCGTACACTTCCTTCATGTGCAGTCTTCGTAGCATAGTACTGGCAGATATTGCCTTAACAAGTGAAGCTGAAAGCCATGGATGTAACAGTTGTGGAGGTTGCTATTGACTCCGGTTAACTACTACAATACACTATTCTTCAGAAGGGATGGTAAACATCAGTCTGCTGAGCACAAGTTTTCAAATAATTGTTTAACTTGTTTGGAATGGTTTCCACATTCCAAATACTAGTGAATGACATCAGAAGAAAAGAGTGATGTCTTTGATTGATTGGACTATCTGTCATTCATCATTGTGTGTGTGTATCTTCGGATATATTTAATGGCGTAAACCTCTATCCTATTCATTAAAATTTGTGTGTCATTTAGAAATCACATCTCATCATTGCTTAAAATCCTACTGCTGATAAAAATGAAATTTAAATTTTTTAATTTAAAATTCCATCTTTATTAGCAATCACACAGTTGCCAAAAATATTAAAAGATTGGAAGGAAGTCAAAATTTAATTTAAAGATTTAGTCCAGAGATAGAAGTCAAGTTAAATAAAATTATGTAAAAATGATAAAATGTTAGATTGTTGCTAACAGCGGGAGCAGAATGTTTTAACTACAATTAGATTGTTGAAGTAGATCTATTATATGTTTTTGTATTGCAATGCTATAAGAAAAATAGTTCTATCTTTGAGTGGTACCTCTATCGCAAAACTGAAAAGAAGTTTGAAACTTATTTGCCTGTACTGAAGATGGAATGATGAATAAAATTCTTAGTATTAAATAAAGTATATTGCAAAATTATACCCTATACCAAATTTCTAATTATGATTGTAAACATGAAAATATAATGCAGTTGTTAACAAAGAGTCCACCATAAAAGTTTGAAAAAGTTAAAATAAAATTTAAATGTCATAAAAATAATTAAGCTGAGAAGAGTGAAATTTACAATTTTTTTTAAAACTATCCATTTATATACATATATTATACATAACTTCCATTCCAAATTTTATATGCTGATTCCAGTTGAATGTCCAAAACAATTTTTAGCTAAACGATTAAGATTAGTTTACCAATTTAATCCGCCAGTAATTTAATAGAGTTATAAGGTATTTCTCCCAACTTCTTAGCATACCTTTGTGGTGTAATGGTTAGCACACTCGGCGCATATTCGAGAGGTCCGAGGTTCGAGTCTTGGCGAGGGCATTGCACATTTTTCATGTCTCCTGCTTCAAAAAAACCCCTAATAACTTAACAGTGGAGCCCGAACTAAAAGAAGGTGATGGATGATGATTCTTCACCACCAAAGATTTGGCGATTGTGTCCCCTAAACCCCAGTCGCCCTTTAAAAGGGGGAGTATATAAGGTATTTCTCCCACCTTCTTAGAATGCCTTCGTGGTATAGTGGTCAGCACACTCGGCTCGTATTCAAGAGGTCCATGGTTCGAGTCCCGGCGAGGGCATCCTCATTTTTCACGTCTTCTGCTTCCAAAATATCCTAATGTATCTACAGAGTATAGAATCATAGGTCTGAGGATTGAACAAGAATTTTCTTCAATCAGGCAATACTTTTTATTCGACCAGGGCTCAAAATCAGTTTACTGAGAAACAATGGACTTCTTCCATGTGTTTGATAACTTTCCTATCAACAAATTCAAATATTCATTCAAAATATGATTGTTTCTGACATTTTATCACAGTGTAAAAATTTAGAGGTTTAGAATTTTCAACATTTACAATAACAAAGCATTAAATTTCCTTACTTTAAGCCTTGACCTGGATCTAAACATAGAATTGCCGAAATTAGTCTATAAAATTACTTTTAAGGATGCTAAAATTTAAAAATAAGTAGAGAATTTGGGCTTGAGCTCTGAATTTCATAACAGTGTCTCATTTAACTCGAATGGAATAAAAAAAAATATTTCTGTCTCACCCTTATAAAAAGGCCCTTAAGTATAGTATTAGAACAAATTTTCTGAATTGATAATTTTGTGTTTTAAAATTTTAGTTCTCAGCCTCGATCATAACAAAGTTTTCATATTCTAAGAGCCAACATTACCTTTCAGACTTGCAATATTATTCAACCTATAAGGTACCTTTCCCGCTTTGTTAGCATGCCTTCGTAGCGTAGCGGTTAGCACACTCGGCGCATATTCGAGTCCTGGCGAGGGCATTGCTCATTTTTCATCTCTCCTGTTTAAGAAATGCCTAATGCTTCTACAGTGGCGCCCGAACTAAAAGGTGGTGAATGACGATTCTTCACCACCAGGATTTGGCTATTGGGTCCTCTAAATCCGCAGTCGCCCTTTGAAAGTGGGAGTATATAAGGTATTTCTCCCGCTTTCTTAGCATGCCTTCGTGGTGTAGTGTCAGCACCCTCGGCGCGTATTCGAGAGGCCCGTGGTTCGAGTCTCGGCGAAGGCATTGCTCATTTTTCATCTGTCCTACTTCCGAAAAAATATTGTCTCTACAGGCCTACTAGAGCCATGCAATAAAAATGAATTGATTGACATCATTAAGGCGAAACGTATCAGGACTGTTGAACAGTATCCAAAAGAGGACTTTGTACAATCTTGTACAGATAGTTCTTCCGATGACACAGTCACTAATAGAGTCTTTGACACAGTTACTAATAGTATTTTTGATTACCCCAGGAGATACTACTTATCAAGAATACAAAATTGGCGTTGGAGCCATAGTCTCTAACTTGGGAGCTTCAAGCAATAGCGGAGACACTTGACATGTATAATTCTCATTTCCGAGCAGGAAAAGGGACTCGTTGTCTTCTACGACTCAAAGGCAGCTCTACAGGAAATCCTGGATGGAAGCTTCCTGATCACCAGCAGGATTCACTTTCGCCTAAACGAGGTTCATAAGTTGGATAAAGTCTGCATCCTTCAATGTTTAAATTGGCAAAAGAAGCTCGAATTCTCAACGATAATAATAACGTCAATGTCAGCCTCACGGAAGAAAATGCCGTGGTGAAATACCGATTGAAGGAATATTCAATTCCAATGCAGAACCAGCTCCATAACATCATTGGAGATCGACTTATAACTAAAACCATAGTCAAGGTCAGGACAGGGTTATCACAGACGATTGAAAATTGACAGAGGGTAGGGAAACCTACAGAAACTGCAGTAAATGCTCGGACATAGAATTTACAACTGCACACATTTTTGATTGTCCGGCATTCTTGCTGAATTGTTAAAAACTCAGATCTTGTTTACGAAACCGAACCTCTACAATGGTAATATTATGCAGATTACTAGGGCTTTCATCTTCATCCATGATACTTCTTTAATGGGTATTCATCATAGACACGACAAAAACAACAAGGCAGGCTGCGTGGAATATTTTGCATATTGTTAAAGAAATAAAACATACTACTTTTACGCGAACTTCGGTATAAAGGTTACAGAGCTAATAAGCGATTGAACTTCATATGTAAAATGTAGTATAATTAAATATTTATTACAACACCATATTTATTATACAATCGACGCTCATAATAAAGACCTCTCGCATCCTAAAGGAAAATAACATTATAACAAGTGAATGATGCAGTAACGAAGGAGGATACAGATAGTATATTTGATATCGGGTGATAAATATAGTATATTTGATATAGGTGAATACAGATAGTATATATTGAAAGTGGATACAGATAGTACCTAATATACCCACATCATCTGAAGACATTTTATTTTCTGTGACCATTCTATATCAGCACAATAAATGGTCGCTATAATGATAGGTCATTATAACGAGTGTTAAGTCTATTGTTAATATCAATAAATACTGGAAAGATTACCTTTTATAGTCACCAGGTTTTCATTCACCCGATAATAGGCCATCAAAACCAGTCTTAAAATTTATAGTTGCTACCCTGTAAATAAAAAAAAATACATTATTTTATGCTTTTTATACAAGAAACAGCAAATATTTGAGTAACAATATAATAATTAGGTAAGGTGTCGCATATTGTATCTATCAATTTTAAATAACAACAGGAAAGCGGCAAGTGCTTGTGACAACATTATATGGTTTCGAAATAATAGTATACAATATGGACAATACATATACGGTAATACCTTAAAAAGAAGGCTCGCTAAATGTTTTCTTTTTGTTTAGATGCATTTTAGGCAGCGCGGGAAAGATTTTATAACACACCTTGATGTCTTGTGAAACAGCATATACTTCAAATGTAGCAGTCTCAGTCTTCAGTTCTTCCGTTCAGCGAACGATATGCTGACTCTCTCTTTCAAGTAACCCCAGAGTAAGTAGTCAAATCTGGAGAGCGGAATGGCCAAGTCAAATCGCCTAAGTGAGAAATCAGATGGTTTGAGTATGTCTGTTGGAGAATTGCTGTACTTTGCTTGCACTTACCGCCGTCCTGTATCTTGTCTACAATTCTGACGACAGCGATATGTGCTCAGCGTCTGTGACACAATCTGACTGAAGGCTTCCACTAATGCAATACAATTCCACTTGCTCTCTAAGAATGTATATATGCCCACGTGAGCAAGTGCACGATGGTTTCGCAACTAAAATTGGTGGATGTAATATGCACTACTCTGTATTATTATTTAGTAAATAATAATAATAATAATAATAGAAATTATATATTTTTTAACTTTAAATATACCTTAATGTAATTATTTTAAATAAATTTTTCAAACACGATTTGAAAAATAATGTGACATCTTGATTCCAAAACGACTGCACCTTTATTGTAAACTCACATTTAAGCCTCTTAAATGAAAGGAAAAACCAGACTTGCCAACAAAAATTTCGTCATATAATAAGTAATTGTTTTCCATGTACTTATATACTTTATACTGCTTTTTCGACATCTTAGTGATATCGCTTAGTAATAAATTAAATAAAATGCCTTCTAAGAATGGAATTCTTCAGGAAATGAGTTTTTATTCCTTTTATTCCCTCCTCTATGTTGGGACGTTTTAAATAACGCATCAAAGCTTTTTGACACAGACATGTTGAAACTTATTGAGAAGATCTTGACAATCGCATTGATATTTGTTGTATTACCAAAGGTTCCAGACATAAGACATTGTAACTTAGCCATGCAAACTTTAGGACATGTTCTTCTAATCATGTAAGTATTTCAGCCGTTGTTAAAACTCTTACTTCTATAAAACTGTGGAAATGTATACTTCTTTTAGCCAAACCTAGAAGTTTGTGAGATGGTAACTGATGACAGTTAATTAGATAGATTCATGTTAGAATTCTAATTATGAAAGAAACAGAGGAGACATTTTCGGTCCCCAGATAATTCATTATGAGAAGAAATAGCAAATGATAATAATGAAATAATAAATATAATAATAATGGGAAAGTTATGGCTGACATGGCTCGGTGCCCCCTCCAAAAAAGAAATAAATAAAAATAATAATGTAATAATAAAAAGGAAATAGTATAAATAAAAATAATTATGAAAATAAATAGTGATATTAACGGAATAATAAAACTAAAATTCTAAAATTAATAACGGTGAAAAAATTAAAAGTGTTAACTAGACTCCAGCTATTTTATATTGTTATAATTATATGTTTAATTTATGTTTAGTTATTTATGTTAACTATTATGTTCAGATAACTATATATTAACTATTATGTTCAGCAATTTTTATGTCACTGTTAACTATTATGTTCAGCAACTTTTATGTTAGTATATCATGTTCGGTTCACTCTTTTCTATAGAAATAATGTTTTAGGAAAATTTTAAAGGACTTAAAGAAATACAAAGGCTTAATTATAGCTGCACAGAGTAAATTCTAGCATAAAATCAAATTTTTACTTTAATTTAATCATAGATGCACATGGTAGGAGAAACTTAAAAAATTATTGTTATACTGAATTATGAAGGTCATTTTCGATGCGGAACACTAAAAAAAGATGCAAATAATCTTAAGCTGTGACAAAGATTATAGGCCATGGCAGATGACTGCGTTGAAACATGCCGTGTTAACGCCTTTCTCTTGTATTGAGCATGCAGAAGGCGTACCTGCTCAATCAAAGTTATCTTAAGAGGCGAAGAAGGGACCTTTTCAAAGAGGACCACCCACCTTTGGAGGAGATAACTCTTCGTATCGGAACATCTGCTTCGTCACTTTGATTACCAAACTGGCCTCACGTGACAGGAGTACATATGGGTAAGTCTCAATACAATAACAAGAAAAAGAAGTATGTACCGAATGGTGAAAGTTAGTTTTAGGTGGGATGAGGGAGGCGGATAATTTCTGGAGAAAAATGAAACTCGCAACATTTTTACTTCAGAGTGAAAGTCTCCAGTTAAGAAGTATCAGATATCAACGAAAAACATTCCTTTCAAAAAGTGATCTCTTACTAGACATTTTAAAACACATTCAACTATTTCATAAGCCCAGAGATATTTAAGAAAATTATAACTGCTGCCAACAATGTAATTTGCATTATCTCTTCATATAATAAAAGAAAGAGTCTGTCTATGTGTGTCTTTCGTTTGCGCTGCGCTAATAGACCCACGGCTACGAAATTTGGTACGTGCATCTAGACAAGAGGCAGTGCACCTCGGAGCGATTTTTTTCGAGATTCGAATTCGAATTTTTTTTTATTTTATGTTTTGTGACGAAATCGCGTCATTTTGAGACATAATGGGCGAGATTTTGCTCTACACTCTTCATTTTCACATCGTCATGAAGCGTAGGCAGTTAGCTATTTTACGAACTTAAAATAAATTTCGTGTTTCAATAAATCGATTAAATACGAATTTATTTAACAAAGGGAGCTTAACACCTTTTTAAGCGGATTTTTTCTAAAAAAGTTTATTTTTCTTTGATTTTTGGACACGTTAAACTTTTATCCTTGCCACTGCTTTTACAAAACGAATCTTGGAAAAATGATAACATTTTGTATTTTTAAAAAAAAATTTTAAATGAAGCTTCCGAGTACACTTCTCACATCTTTAAAAATGTGATTTTGGCACACATTTTCCTTTCTTATTGTGTTGATAGATTTTTGATGAATCGCATCATTTTGAATAGTTTCATTCTTTAGAATATGGGCTTGGCAACAATTTTTCACCGTATTTTCTTATGTCACTGCTTTTAAGAGATTGGCATATTTCATTGTCATTATATATATATATAATCATTTTTATTGATTTTTTTTGATAAAGTTTTCTGTAAGTAAAATTCTGCGCGGAATTTTGTCTTTTGAGTTTAATTATTTTTGCTTATTTTACTGTTTGTAAATATGAAAGTTTGCATGTTTTTTTTCGTCAACGGAAGTTGGATAATTTTTTTATTAGGATAATCAATATTTGTATTGAGGGATATAGCTTATTTCATTGTAATTTTTCTCTTGAAAATACAAGGTAATATCATTAATTATACTTTGCTTTTCAGAACTTTTTTGTTTTTGTATTCTTATGTTATTTATCGCTCATTTTTCACTGTCTTTAAGATATTAAAAGTTGAGTGATTTTTTAGGAACAAAGTTCTTACCTCCTTTATACCATTTGAGTTCTTAAGATTTTGCAAAGGGAATTGTTTTAATTATTTATTAGGATAATTAATTGTATTGAGGGATAAAAAAATTAATTTTTTTTTTTTTATTTTTTTTATTTATTTTTTATTTATTTTATTATTTTTTTAAATTGTTTTCATTGTAATTTTGTTATACGTACTAACTTTTTTTTATGAAGTTGTTCTGCAGAGTAAAATCCTAAGCAGTTTTTAAATTTAACGTCTGGTGTTTCCTTCAGCCATTTTTCCGGTACATCTAAAAGCCAGACGAAGGCTGGCAGCAAAGCTGCTAGTTTTATATATAACCGTATATTAAAAAAAGACGATCCTACAAATTTGAAAGCACACCATGCGACGGTTTCAGAAGTATGAGCTGGATATATGGAAGGTATTGATAAATGGCCTAAATACTGTACCTTTAAAATTAAATAAGTAAAAAGTTAGTTTTCTTTGAAAGTAATGTGTTTTAATTTAAAAATTAACAGATAAGTTTTCATACACATTCTTCGTGTGTCAGACTGCGTATATAGAACAAATGCAGTTTTCAGAAGGATAATTTAAGGGATAAAACATCATGTTATTTTGGCATTATATTATTTATGCGTTACATCATGTGATATTGGGATTAAACACCATGGTGCGTACTTTACGGGACTTAACAGAATTTGGCTCGCCTAATAGTGTAAACAGCCAAATTACATAAAGAAAAAAATCATGTAATGAGTTCCTCCCTTTTAGAATTTAGATGGAAGTTATCATGTTTTAAAATACACAGATTCATTGATGAGTTACATAATACGTTTTTTTAATAGTCTTGGTAACTCATGACAAGTATAGAAATGCGATTTTAGAAGTCCTTTTCTAGAACATCTGAATAAGGGGAAAAAATACAGTGCTCCACAAATACACTCCCTGGCTATTATAATTCCTCTCAATATAAAGGGGTATAAAGTATAATAAGGATATCATCTAAAACCATATATAAGTAACGTAATCCTGAATGTCAAGAATGCTAAAAACATGCATTGTTTCCGACCACACATTTGCGTTACAGAAAATTAAAAAGAACAAATAAAAGTTCAAATCGCTAAAAATATGTTTAAAGCTTCACTAAGTTATGTACCCGAGATCCAAGGCAAAAAATGCAACCTTAGATTATTGTAGATTTTAAATCAAATTCTATCACTTCCTCTTGAAGCAAAACGTTTTTGCTCCTGAAGAAGAGTCTTTATCTGATCGCTCTTGAAATTCATAGAGTTTGATTCAAAATCTACACTTATATGATTAGTGTAGATTTTGAATTAAACCTACATGACCCAGGACGTTTAATGTAGTACTGGTATCTACACTGCTAAGTTTCT